TTGATATGGCAGTCCCTGCTGACTGCAATGTATCTTTGAAGATATTCAAAAAGTTGTCAAAATACAAGGACCTTGAAATAGAAATCTCGAAAATGTGGCATATGGGAACATCAACAATCCCTGTTGTAGTTGGAGCCCTAGGACTGGTTGGAAAAAGATTGCAGTAGACTAATTGAAGGGATTCCTGGAAGTCCATGCCTCAAGGAGATACAAAAAATTGTTCTGACAAGTACAGCCCACACTTTACGAAGGGCTTTATCTATGTAATTTTTTTTTTTTTTTTTTTTTTTCAGTGGAAAGTGTCATGACGCCATTTCTACCTTAGGTCCCTGGGCGGGACCCGGAAAGAAATGTGTAAACGCGAATATTTGAAAAAAAAGATTGAACGTTGGTAAATCAGTGTCGCTAATATTTAAATTGATTGGTCTGCACGTATATGGTCGAAAAGTTTATTTATTGTAGATTACCATTCGTGAAACCTCCCTCAAGTTAAAATCAAACAAGAATAAAAAAAAAAAACAATATTTTAATAGATGAGTTTTTTTTTATAATATCAATAAACTGTAAAATCTATCCTTGAATTTTCAGATTTATCCATACGTTGATTTTATTTTCAAAAGTGATATTTGTTTTAGGTAATTGACATCTGCATAGTATCACGGTTTAGGAAAAGGGACAACACTAGTCGTATGCAGTCATCAAACATTTTTAAATAAAATCAAAGTACATATAACTCTTTAAAAAGTCAGGGATCTATTTCATGCTATTTTTCTATTATGAACAAGACCCTCTTATAAAATTATTTGAAAATCATTATTTTTTGATTATGTCAACGAATGCTAATATAGAAAAGTGATTCCGAACTGTATTTTTCATTTTTGTCTTTTGTGTCTTAGTTTCAATAGATGCACAGTAATTTTGTATGGAAAACTTTTGTTAAAAACGAAGCTGAATCCTGCTATGTTTCTACATACGACCACATCACATTGAAACATCGGTTCCCGTATCATCACCGAAGTTAAGCAACATCGAACCTGGTCAGCACCTAGATAGGTGACTGCTTGGAAATTGCTGTTATTATAAGCTTGTAAGTGTAAAGGATAATGGCTCGGAATTATTAATCGGAGACCCGGGTTCTAATTCGACTGAAGATCATTGTATTCACATACGCAAATATCTTTTTATAAAGGGATGAATCAATATGGATTACTGAAAATTTCAAAAAAATATTGATTAAAATTAGCCTAAATGAAATTTGTAAAAAAAATATTTTCAATAAGATATTTTCACTTTTAAATTTTGATAAGCCGTAAAAACCAAATTTCAATTCTCTTTTTTTAAGAATGTTTTTTTTTTATATTTCTGATTGGCTGAAGAAGATCTATCTTGTTTTTGATTAGTCAGAGAAAATAACTGATGAAAATGTCAGTTTTTTTAAACATTTTACCCTAGTATGGCAATAAAGCCACTAAGACACAAGGAACTGCTGAGTGTTAAAGAATATATGGATAAATCTAACCTAATGCAGTGTGCTGCACATATTCCTATTTGTATATTAACACTTAGTTTTCACTGTATTTTATTACCTATTTTTCTGTATCGATCTCTATTAACTTTTTCTTCAAACGAAGCCGATATACAGATTTAAATATGATGCATTTGCTAGTGTTTAAAACCTTGTATTGCATTGCTCCTGATATTCTGTATAAATCTAAGACAAACATTAAGACTCACATACATTTTCTCCGCATGATTTTTCCACACGATTAGTTATAATTCAGTTAGAATTATTATTTGACATTAAAATTATCTCAAATATTTTGGCTTTCAAAACGAACACAATAAAAAGACACGTATCCTTCAGATGCATCCAGAATGTCTAAAAGGCGATATTTGGATAGCTAAAAGGTCATCATTTGCGATTAACAAAAGAGATCTTTTGCCGTCGGATTTTTCGACGATTACGCTTAACATTTACATAAAAGAACATGTGCAGGATGTGACTGGGGTGACGGTGTAGATGATGCAACTTTAGTTAACAAAATATCACTTGCAAACTAATAAATGTTTCATAATATTATTTTAAAAGTCCAAATTTCTTCTACCGTAACTTGCTTTCAAATTTACAGAGAGCTTCCTCTTCTCCTAAACATATATGGTGTAGCTATGAATTCAAATCTCGGACCCACTTTATGTAATTTTACATGAGTCATGTAGAAAAAGAAAAATTATAATCACTTCGACAAACCTAGTATATGTGTGCGATCCAAATACGTTTTTTTTTTTTTTTTTATTTTTGTGTTTGAGATTAGGACTGGTTAGAGTCAGGTTTGCCAATTATGCGAGGTTAAAAATATATATTAATATATTATGCTATTTATTATCGTTGCTTTCATCGTTCAAGGGGAGTACCACTTATTATACTTTTTTTTTCCAAAATTGCAGCAAGCTAAAAATTTTAAGCTAGCTAAAATTTTAAGATATTTTAAATATCACCCTACATTTAAACTAAACTGATCGATGCATTTAAGTATTGAATTAATGCTTAAGCATACCTTTTAAAAGGTCAACAATAATTCTTCTGCTGCTACCTAATTTTGAGACGATATGATGTACATAGGTCCTTAATTTCCGTACAGACATTATTTTTATAAAATATTATTGTTATTTCATGGATGACAGAACAAGGGACAATTTACTAGATAAAAATATAGTGTAATGAAAAATAGAAATTGGAAATAGTTATACATTGAACATTTGAAAAGTTAAAGAAACATGATAGCTAATTAATTAAAACCTATATTAAGGAATCTCTATGAATAAATGCGATTTTGGAGCTCAATTCTCCCACGAATTCAGAGAATAAAAATCCCCAGCTCTACTTCATAGTAATTTGGTATTTACTCGAACCCCCATGAAGTCGTGTTGTGACACAAGGTCGATTTAATGTGGCGCGACCGAGCGCCTACGCCCTGAGTCCCTGCAACCGTCAGTTGCGCTGGCCTCGGTGCGTTCACCGATCCTGCTCTCTAGAGCAATGAGAAGACGCAGCCTCGAGCAGCTGTTACCCAGGGCCGGAAACTCTAATTTCCCTCGGTTGCGACTCGGTTTTTTGACGGAATCACCCCTGAGTGCACAATGCCTAAAGACAGAGACGCAACTGAGAGATGATAAGTATGACATGATGTGCTACAAACATCCCGAGAGGACAATATACACACGGTATTTACCCTGTCCCCTCATTAGGACGAGATGTAACACAAGGTCTTTTTTTAGCTTTGTGTATGTGCACGTGTGTATGTGTCTTTCTCTGTGTGTGTGTGTGTGCATGTCTCTGGTTTCATTATTGCTCTTTATTTTAATATATCTCTTTGTGTTGCAATGATCAATCTTTGGAACCTAGAATAAATTTAGAAATAAATAACTTTCACCAGTATACTGATTCACTGCATGTCCTAATGAACGAATAAAAAATTATGCTTGAGTTATATATACAATATTTTATTTAAGTAAGTTCCTGAATTTCAAATGTCTTCATCCTGAATTGCAAAATTTTTAGTTGATTTTATTTCGGTCTTCCATCTAATTTTGAGAATTGTAAGCATCTGTTAAACAACATGTAGCTGACAACAACGAATAAAAGTTCAACCGGTTTTAAATGTACTGAGACATTTTTTACAAGGTTACGGAGAAGTTGCTCAGCGCTTGTCACAATCCTTTCAGCATATCGATCTTTTCCGAAGAGCAGAAATGATACAATAATCGAATTCCAACTCTAACAGCTGCCACCATTTCCATGCACTCGATTCACGTCTACCAATATGATTTAGACTTGAAGCAATCTGTAAATCTCTGCAGGGCAAAAGGTTTAGCTGCAAGGGGTTCGTGGCTCGCACAAGAATAGAGAACTTGATCTCATAGTATTTCTGAAACAATGATTTTCTATTATTATTAGTTGTTCTTGGATTCCACCCCTTCTTTCTTTCTTTCTTTTATGTAACTCTCTCATGTCTATTTTCTATTTTACTTCCTTCACACATTCATTTTCCCTCTCCGGTCTCCCTTTCAATTTTCACTTTTCCAGAACCTGTCTTTCTTTCTTTCTTTCTTTCTTTCTTTCTTTCTTTCTTTCTTTCTTTTCATAATTTATTCCATTCATTAATTCTATTTTTTCCTCATTTGCTTATTAACGCTTGCTCTCTCTTTCTTCTTTCTCTCATTTCGCAATTCTTTCTTTCCATTCTTCTTTTTCAATAATTTATCTTTTTCTTTCATTTTTTTATTTCCGTTGTTTGTTCCGTCTTTCCTTCCTTTTGTTTTTTTTTATTTCTTTTCATATTCTTTCCTTCATTTATTTCGTCTTTGCTTCAATTCTTCCTTCCAGTATTTGACTTGCTAATGATATTTCAGTTTTTGCATTTTCTATATTTGACCATTTTTTCTTTCTTAATTTTCCAATTTTCCTTCCTTTTCTTTTCGCTTTTTCAACCTCTTATATTACTGATTTCCTCCAACAGTCATATTTTTTTTAATTAAACAACATCATTCGTTGGCCATCATTTCTTTATTTTACTTTAATGCATTTGTTTGGGTGAGTTGTTTTTTTTTTTTTTTTCGAATTTCCCTCATCTTTTTCCTTCGATTTGTTGCTTTCTTTGTATTTGATTACTGGGTTTTGGTTGCATTCTTATGATGTAGTTTATTTTAATTCTACATCTTCGATTTTGTTTTACTATTAGCTTATGCTGTTCTCTCTTTTTAAAATCTTATCTCTACAAATAAGGTTTTTTTTCTAATAATTTATTTTCCTCTTAATTAATAATCCTTTCTTGTATTCCTTCTTTCATTTCTCTTTCCCTTTATTTCTTTTCCTTTGTTGTGTTTTTTATTTGGCAGATTCCTTTTTGTAATATTTTATCTTTTTTTATTGATTATCTATTTTTATCTATTTTTCGCCTCGCTTTCATTCTTCAGTTCTTTGTTGCTTTTTTACCTTTCTTATGTCGTTATTTTTCTTTCGTTCTTTTGAGGCGTGTTATTTATCGCTTCCTTTTCCTTCCCTATTTCTGTTGATTTTATTTCGACGTTCATATTTTCACTTCTTTCTTTATTTGTTGTTTTCCATTATTTTCTTCATTTCTTCTTCTTGTATATTCATTTTTATTTTTAATTTTTTTTCCTTTAAGCCCTATTCAAATAGTTCATTTTAATAACTCCAGTTCCCTTTCTTCCTTCCCGTCTTCATTCATGTTCTTTTTTCCTATCCTTTTCCTTCATGTCTTTTTACTTCATGTCCAATTCTATCATCCAGTCTTTCTTTCCTTTGTATGCCACTCTTAATTTTATTTTCTCATTCCTTTCATTTTTTATCATCTCTTTCTTTCATGCCATTTTTGCTCATCATTCATTCTTTCTTTCTTTTTTTCTCTCTCCTCACTTATTTCTTCTCTTACCCTTTCTTCTTTCCTGTTATTTTTTCCTTTTCTTTGTCCCTTATGAGCATTTTGCTCCTCGTCTATTCTTTCTTTCTTTCTTTCTTTCTTTCTTTCGTTCTTTCGTTCGTTCGTTCGTTCGTTCACCCCTCTTATTTGTGATTTTCCGTTTCTTCCACGTCTTCGCTTTCCTTTTCTTTTTCCTCCAAGTTGTTTTTACTTCTCGCCCATTCTTCTCTTTATTCTTTTTTTCTTCCATTTCTTTAGGATTTGTATTCTTTCTTCGCGATCTTTCATCATTTTTCTATTTTGTTTTTTTTTTAATTATTCTTTCTTTTTCTATTTGCTATCATTTATTTACCTTTCATCTTTTCATTCTTCTGTTATTTTTTTTTCTGTTATTTTCTTTTATGTGTTTCTTTCTTTCTCTTGAAGTTTTCTTTTCTTTTTCATCTTTTCCTTCATATGTTTTATCCTATTTATTTACACCCATCTCTATTACCTACTTTTTTTCTTTTCATAAAACTCATCATCATTTTTTATCAGATTCTTCACGTCTCATAGCCAAGTAATGCGACTACCATTTATCGACAACTCCTTTGGGCATCACTTTTCGTCTATACGAAAGAAGAGCGTCTATTAATTAGTTTCCCCAAGAGACACAAGATCAATATGAACGTTGGTTATTTTGGTGTAAAAAGAAAAATACAAGGAAAATAATCAAATCTGCCTAACCATTTTCAGGCGTCTTGAGTTTTTCTTCCGTTTCATCAAATTTTTGAAACACAAACGCATGTCCAACTTATATCTAATATAAAAATCACGCACAAACAAATACAAATGTTTACACACGCACACACACACTCACACATACATACTGACACATACGATAATATGCAGCAACATGAGTACAGGTTGATATGTGCATCAATATTTTGGTATCCTAAGGAAGAAATTTATTTTATTTATTAATATATTCATATTTTTTTTTTTAAAGGTAACATTTTCTAACTTATCAGTTCGTATAATATAACGCATTTTTCATTACTCAGATGGATCAAATATTATACGATGTGAATTTCAGATCAACATTAACTGTCACCAGTTTGAACTATTCATCGAACCAGGGAAAGACAGAGAGATGAGCAGATAGATAGTAGATAGATAGATCTAGCTACAGTGAGAGTGAGGATGATATATATATATAGATAGATAGATGGATACCTAAAGTATGAGATGGGAAAGAGATAGTTATAGATAGAAAGAATGTGTGAGGGAACGAGTTACACACGCATATATATATATATATATATATATATATATATATATATATATAACAGAAAAAAATGCACCAATTAACTGTGTTCCTATGAAAAGTTTGGCCGCCTTAAACGTTCAGTCATAATCAAAGTATAACTGTTAATAGAGGAATAGAATGAAAAACCGTGTATGCGGTTTCATGTCAGGCGCCATTTTTGCCCGACTGATTGTATCTTAACAAAGATCCAGAAGTTAGTAACTTACAGTGAATTTATCAGATCGAAACATTCTATTATAGAAATCTGTGGGCATTATACCAGTCCTGTCACCAATGAAGAAAAAGAAAAAAAATTTGGTCTACGAAAATAGAAATATAAAACATTCTATTATAGAAATCTGTGGGCAAACAGCCAAAGATTTCGTTTGTTAAAATAAATAGGCAATGTCCGTTAAAGAAAAAACTGTATTTTTTTTTTAATAAATATCATTTGCCTTTCTGTATTTTTTCAAGCCGATATTCAATTGAAGTGGTTTTTCTGTCTTTATTTCAATGTCGATGAAAAAAAAACGATGGAAAGAATATATCTACCAATGAAGACAAGAAAATTAAAAATGTAAGGGCAAATGAAAAAACAAAGCGGTCTAAAAATAGAAATGGCAATCAATAACAATCGTCAAAATAAAATGCAAGCAATTTGGGATCTTTATCGGTTTAATGTAAAAAAACAAAAAAACTTATCATCTTGAAAAAACCGCTGCTATTTTGTCATAGATTACGCAAAGGACTCGGCAAAATGATCAGCCAAAGATCATAAAAAAGACAGGATGTATTGGAAAAAGTAATCTTAACAACATAAGATAATAGAAACAATCTGGAGAAATAAATTTTTTCGAAGGAAAAGTTGAGAAAAACGAAGAGTCTCTTGACTTCTCAGTCCGCAGCGGTTAAAATGAAATGGCGCGGACGTCGTTTCCAGTGTCATCGGCGGGGGAATGTCCCAATGTAAAGAAAAAACTGTATTTGTTTTTTAATATATTTTAAAAAATAAGTCTTTGATTTGCCTTTCTGTACTCTATATTTCAAGAGCCAGATCAATTCATCGAGTTGAAGTGGTTTTTTTCTGTCTTTATTTCAATGTCCACTCTTTTAATTAACTTAGGGAGGTTGTGACGAAAAATAACGACGCGGGACTCTGTAGAGGCCTCGTGATTGGAATGAGTACACTTCAAATCCGTTAACGAGGACCGACCGGAGGGCAAGCAGCCCTGGTAATTCCAGCTCCGGTAGCGTATATTAAATTGTTGCGGTTAAAAATCTCGTGTTGGTGGTCGCGTTCGCGGCTTCGGAGCGGCAGCGCCATCGTTCGTCGTTGACTTTGCTCGTCCGTGCTCATTCCTGGCCCTTTTCGCCAACCTCTTGCACATGTGCCACGCTGTCCTACCGTCGAAGTTACGCGAGGGAGTAGTAGGTGACCGCTGGGTTGTTGCGGATGTACAGGGGACCCGCAAGTGTCGTCGTCTGCGGCGTCAGGTCATTTTTCGGCGCGCGATCTAATTCATGCGGCGGCGCGGCATTCCTGTCAGCGACCAGCGGCCTTCACTCGTCGTCTGCGTCACCGTCGTCTCCTAAAAGAACGTCGCGTCGTCGTCGCTCCGTCTCGCCATCGTGGTCTTCCCTACCGCCGATTGGTAACCTCCCCTCCAGTTTCCTGCGTCCCTACTCTACCTACCTCCGCGTCTATCGTCCGTTTTGAGCTCGTGCGCGGTCGGCGGTTTCTCCTTAATGTGTACTCTTGATCGGGTGTCCGCAGCGGCAGGTACGTTCACTTTGAAAAAAAATAGAGTGCTCAGGGCGGGCTTTTCAAGTTTGCATACGATAAGCATGGAATGATGCTTCCATCACCCGACGGGAAAGCGGCGAGTTCGGTTCCGGCGGGAGTATGGTTGCAAAGATGACAAAGGAAATGATAGAAAAGGACCACCACAGGAGTAGAGCCTACGACTTAATTTGACTCAACACGGGAAAAATTACCCGGTGCAGACAATAGGATAGACTGATCGATAGTTCTTTCTCGATACGGTGGATGGTGGCGCATGGCTGTTCTTAGTTTGTTGAGCGACCCCTCTGGTTGATTCCGATAACGAACGAGACTCTGGCCTGCTAACTACTGCGCCGATGTGTGTGTTTATTCAATGACGGTCTTAGCGTTCATTGCAGCGCCCGGGTCTGGGTCGCTTTTCTCAATGAATAATACGCTCAGTGACCATTGGTAAATGGATGGCGGAACGAGTTTTAGGAGAGATTACAAAAAGAAAAGATTTATTAAGAGCTACAAAGGCCAGACAATCGTGGAGAGCCATGATCACCCACGCTCGGAGGGGACTTATAAAGAAAACTTGGTTTGGTAATTAAGCTTCACCGTTTTGATATTCAACTAGCTAAATGCAACCACCACTTCTACTCGAACAGTTTCTTTTCTAATTCTTCTCACCTCTGTTACTACCATTCGATTTCTTGATTCACTGATGACTGTAATCTTCAAAAATTTTAAATGCAAAATCAGTCGCCATATTCTGTCTACTTGAACCATTTTACTTTATTGCCTTTTCCTCACTAAAGTTTTCTCATTCTCTTTCAGTTCCTTTGGTGTCATTATCGCCTTGCTTGAGTTGAAATGATTAAAAAAAAGGGCATTATTGACATATTTTGAGTGGAGCTGCCTAGACCACACTTGCCTCGTTTGTTACAGTTTAGATTCCTCTTTGCTGCATTGTGGGTGATTAATTACTTTCACCCGCCAAAACTTGATCAGCGGACGAAATATTGCGAGATTATCGCCGCTCTATACCTACTTCCATGACATGCGCTCTGACGTGCTACATTTTTTAACTTACGACCCTTCACCTTTACAGCTGAGACTCGCCATGCCTCGTAAACAAAAGGAAGTTATCAGCATCTCCTTCAAATTCCTATAGTAATAAGTAAGTTCCATTCAGATAGCTTCTTCTCAAGAACTCCTGCCTCGTAGAAAAGACCTTTCTAGAGGTTGTTTCTTAACCACGACAATATTGACCTCTTCAATTTAACCATTATCTTTTCACAATAGCCCCATGAACTTCGCTTATTAGCCCATCTTATGCTCATACAACACAGTAACCATCTAACTTGAGTGGCTCCTGGGCCTTGTACTGAGTGAAAAATAGTACAATATAATTAAAAAAATATTATAATATATTAGAAGAAGGAGCGTCGACGTGTTTCACTTGATTTGCAACGGTTAAAAAAGAGTAAGCAACATGGAAATCTTAAAGAAAATGGTGACAGGAAGAAATACTCAGAAGCACGAAAAGACAGCTGAAATTCCTTGGACACGTGATGAGGAAGAAAGGATTGTAAAAATAAATCCTCACAGGGCATAGTGAGGGAAAGAGAGATAGGGGAGAGCGACTGGTTACTTACCTTCTCGATTTTATTTAAATGTATATCAGAACGGACTTAGCAAAGGGTAAAGATCTGCTAATATGCACATGAGATAGAAAGTTGGGGAGAGCCGTGACCCGGAAGGGATATAGCGCATAGAAGATGTTAACAAGAAAAAAGTAAGCTGGAGGAGAGAAAAAATTATTAAGCATAGCATCTAGGGTTACAAATAGTAATTTCAATTGCGAAATTATGAGACTTTTCTGCCAATCTGCGTTCAAATTTGTGAAATCGAGATTCAAAAGAGGAAAGTGAATCGAGCTGAGATGCCAGATCAGGGCTGATAACGTTGCAAATTCATCTTTGAATTTTGTCAAGAATCTCCAGATATATAGAAGCACCAGACTAGATATGGCCACAATATTCCAAGCACCAAGCACGGCAGTCGTATATATGTGTAAGACAACATATATTTATATTATTTACTTTGTTCGGACTGTTGTTCTCATCTTTATTGGCATATTCACGACGTTTCGGCCGTTGTAAGCCCCGGCCTCCTTCAGTTGATTCGTTTTTCGAATTGCACCCTTTATTTCGTCATAGGGAGTTCTAATTCAACGTGCCATACCTCTTCAGGATATTTCAGTTATCTCTTTTTGACTCTCCAAGTTTTTTTGTAGTAGCCAGGCATTGAACTGAAAACTATTGGGGTGAAGTCACATGATTCACCCAACCCTTTCATCCACTAGGCCATCTGTACTTGAGGAAGTCCTGAATATGGCATTAAAGATGGGGACAACAGTCCGAACAATGTAAATAATTACACAGCCTCATCTTAGATATATAGACGTATAAGACAAGTTTTTGTCGAGAAAAAATATCTGGTAGCACATAGTTAACCGGCATTCCTATTAGGAGACTTAGAAATTGATGCCGTAAAGAATTCGAAGACTACTGAATCGTAAATTAAGCATAAGTGTATCAGGTTTTACAACCATAATCATATAAAATCGTTGTGGGTTTCTTAGCTTGATAAAATACCTGAAATCTATTAGTGAACTAATCAGAAGATGTGTCAAAACAAATGTGATACGCTGGCCAAACAAGCATTAGAACTTCAACCAGTACAACAAAGAAACTGATAGAAGACACAATAAGCTCACAATCGCCAATTTTCTATCCAATACGAGAGAATACATACAGAATCGAGTAAGACACAGTTAGGAATCTAATTACATCGATAACTCCTAGCCGTAATGCAGCATTAACAATTTCGGTTACACAGCAGGTATTAATGTTTGTTCTTTCATTTACTGCTTTCATTGAAGCAAACTTAACCTAGGTTAGTTTTGGTAAAGCAGAATGCGCGTTTGTTCGCAAAAGGAGCAGTCAAAGTTCTGACCTACATATTAGGGATGTCAAAATCAAGACGCTACAGAAATTTATTTGCGACAAAAAAGTGTGACACAGAAACCCGAAAGTACCTAAGAATAGTGAAATGTAGCTTCAAGAAACTAAGCAATGTATTTAAAAATAGGAAATAAAATAAATAGTGCTGAACTGCTATGAAATACCCAACCTAATATCTATACTCTAACTATTTAGTAGTGAATTCTGAACAATTTCAAAAGACCACGACTTACTTTTTTGACTAAATGGCCGATAACATTGAAATGAATCTTGCCAACCGTAAAATGGACGACTCCACAAGAATCTTTTTCGAATTTAATACCTATTTTCATGTTAATTTGCCATTTCTTACATTTTGTCGTCTTTACTATGAAATTTAACTTGTTTTTATAAATTTTTGTACCTCGACAGGGTTAATGGATTCTCTGGTGTCGTTCCATCTACTCTATTTTTTATTCGTTTTCGGTCCACTGGCCAGGGAGCGTTAACATGTTTTGAAACAGTTGGTAGTTCGACTTTCTCTCTCCCTCTCTATGGGCTCTGCTGGCGCTTTCATTGAAGTGACTTCGTTTTTGTTTGGACCCACCACTTTACTAACCCATCCAAACTATTGAATTTGGTTTCTGAAACCGAGACGCATTTATAGAGTTTGCCAAACTTTCACTTAATGACCCACTGATTCGAGCTTAGCAAGGTTAAAATTAAATTCCAACTCAAGTAATAAGAAATTCTTTTTCAATGATGTGGAAATCGAAATGTATTTTTTGGGGCCTTTCAGCTAAATGTGTTAGCGTCAATGGCGTATTGATTTTTATCCTAAGTTAAAACTTAATCATTTTATTTACATCTCCCATCTCACCAAACTTCTGCCTCCCTATTAACTCTGACCCACAAACCCCTTACTAGCAAGCAGATTGAGTGGGTGTCTTTTTCTCTCTTTTTTAATATATATATATATATATATATATATATATATGGTAAGTATTCCACTGTCGGAATGCCGGTGACTAAACTGGCTATCCCACACCATGGGCTTGCGAGTGAGGCGTCTTGTTAGCAAGCCAGTCGGATGAAAAATAAGACCTAACAAAGAGCGGAAGAACTCTCGATGAGTCGGCGTCCAGTGAACCTGAGGCGGTGTCTCCATATACCACTGTGTAGAAGGTCCACTATTAATCCCAAGAAATATCATGGCAAATAACACACACATTCTGAAACCTAACGACGTAAGGGGTTAGGTCTATGGAAATTTACTCCTCGCCCAGTGAGGACCAACATGTGCAACAGGTGTCATCTGACCGTCCTCCAGCGACTACTACTAGTACAAACAGCTAAAAAGGGGGATAAAATTCCTCGGAACTCATCAATAATCCGGAAAGGAGCGCCAAGTGTCACCGGACCGTTATCTTGCTACTGCTCGCATCAAACAAAAATAAACTTTGTGGGCATCGAACGTTAGGACGTTGAACAGTTCTGGCCAGTTAGAAAAAGTAAAACAGAAAATGAGTAGGCTAAAAATCAACATCTTCGGAATATGTGAATGTAGGTAGCCAAACAACTGAGATTTTGTCAGTGACAATATCACAGGATTATATATGCAGGCAGAGAGAAAAACGATAAAGGAGTACGATTGATTCTAAATCAAGAAATCAAGAAATGCCTTCTGGGATACTACCAATTATAGGAAAGAATTCTGCTAGTCAAGCTAAAAGGAACGCCTTTCAACGTAGCTATCATAATAGTGAATGCACCGACTACACGAAGTAAGGAAGAAGAAATGGAATCGTTCTACTCCATGCTACCAAGCCTCATAGCAAATCACATCATAATTATAATGCGAGACCTGAACGCCAATGTAGGCAAGGAGAGAACAGCGGAGATAGCTGACAAATTCAGACTATGAAACCGTAACGACTGTGGAGAGAAATGGATCTAATGTTGCAAGGCCAGGTAATAGCCAACACATGGTTCCAAGAACATGCAAGACGATTATGGACATGGAGAAGTCCTGGAAGAGAAACTAAAAAATAAATTGACTACATAAGTATCAATAAAAGATTAAGGATTGAAATGGTTCACTGCAAAACTGACCAAAGTGCCGATTACGAAAGCGACCATCGCTTTGTTATATATAAACTAAGAATGAAACTCCGGAAACTGAAGAAGCCTAATGCAGCACTTAAATTGCAATACAACAAAATCCTGAACGGCCCGCACTTGAAGGAAACATATATGGGCAACGTGAAAGATACGTGTAATAAAATGGAAACTCGAAATGGGACGCAATAAGAGAACCTTTAATGATATCAGCAAACGATATCATCCCAAAGGAAAAATGACGAAGAAGAAAAAAACGAATCATTGATGAGATTCTCGACATGATGTAAAGAAGACAGAAAACCTTGGCAAGATACGGAACGTATTACAGAAAACTACACAATAAAATGAGGACCAAATGCAGGCAATCCAAAGTAGAGAGGCTAAAATAATGTGAAGAAATAGAGAGATTGATTACCACAGATAAAGGAGATATGCATAAACAGCTAAGGAAAGTAACAGGGCAGAAGAATCTCTCATCAACAGCCTGCATGCAATCTAAGGATGGTATGTTCGTATTAGAATATAGAAAATTCTTCAGTACTGGAGTGAATATATTTGAGAACTCTTTCATGATGTGACACCATTTAGGGCTGCAAGGAAAAGGGAAAGAAAAAAAAGAAAGAAAAAGAAAAGCGAGAGTTAAAAACTTAAATGATAAAGGAAAGCCATCACAAAGGGGCATTTAGCGATGTTATTTTGATAATGAAGAATGGTGAAAATTCTTATGGCCATTGTCGAAAAGCTGATTGACAAATTCCAGGAGCGACCAAATAACCAGATGCAGAGTTTTGAATAGATAAAAAATTACTGTGTCATGGTGGCGAACTTATATTAGCGGGAAAAGATTTTCCGTTGACCGAGAAATAGGAATGCCCTGACCACACACGAGTTGAAAAAAACAAAGAAAATAGGTTAAGTCTTTGTCGATGGAAAGATATCTTTAGACAAGGTGTCTGTTTTGTGTTAAAATTTGACTATGACAGCGAAACAATATTATGAGAAAATGGCGAAGTCGTTCCATCGTATCAGTGGTTGGCGCCGGAGAGTGAGTGCATCTGTTTGGCCAGCCACTTGGTGCTGGCGAAAATCTGATTGACGAATTCCATATGAAAGTGACTTTGAGATAAGAATTGAGATTATCACAATACGGGTCGTATTGTTCTGTTGGCGGCCAGAGAAGAAGAGAGAAAAGAAAAGAAAGAAAGGAAATAGAAAAAAAGAAAAAGAGGAGATAATTCTTTTTTCTGAGATATTTTTTTTTAAAAAAACAAGGCTAGTCTGGTCACACCCACACTGACGAACGCCAATTGGCTGAAGGTTAACGAGAACCAGGCGGAGGTGATCAAGTGATGCAGGAGGAGAGGCCTGCTACCACCCATTAAGGGGATAGGTATGAGATGTTACTGCGAAGGAGTAGGAAAACCGTTGATGCCCTCTGAGGGTATGGTAAGAGACCCATATGAGAATGAAAGAAGGTGGGGGTAAGATAAGACTTCCAAAAATGGAAATAATAAATTTTTCCTGACCGAAAACAAAAGAAGGGAATTGTGGACTTGGAATTATCAAGGAACCTCAAACCCCGACAAAGCCCACCCCGGTTTTGGTCGGCGTCCATATAAGCAAAGTCGCAGTATTACGAAGCAAGAGGGTTTCGCTGGTAACAAAGAAAATAGTACTGAGCTGCTACGTGATATCTGTCCTCATGTACGACAATGAATATTGGACGGTCTACTGAGAGATGAAGAAGAGACTGAAAGCGACAGAGATGTTATTCTACAGAAGGCGTCTAAGGACCACATAGGCTGAACATGTGAACAACGACGAGGTGTTGAATAGACTGGAGACAAAGAGAAAACGTATACTTAACATAAGAAAAAGGTAGCTGAAAATTTTGGGACACTTAATGAGAAAGGATGGCTTTGAAAATCTGATACTCAGATGGTGGATAGAGGGAAAAGAAGCAAGGGAACGCAACACGGAACATACTTAACGGGCATAAGCAAGTGGAATGTCAGAAAAGGTCTGGGAGAAATCACAGACTTATTGAGAGCTACAGGAGACAGGAAGAAATTGAGAGCCATGATCACCTACGTTCTGTAGAGAGACGGCACATAAAAGAAAAAATCAACATTTCCTTAAAATCGAACACAATAATGACACAAAATAAGGCAAGAGAGCCGAGAGAATTTAACACTCAAAGGCCAAAATGAAGGCAAGAAAAGCAGGAGAAAGCAACGGATAAGCTACTTACCCGTGTTTGTAGGAATGAAAGGAAAAAGAGACAAAGACTAAAGTGGCGTAAGTTGCTTACAGAAAATAAAGTGAATGTCAAGGTGAGTCATGACGGCCAATGTCTTAAAAGGACTTGCACTGTACTTAAAGTCCTCATTTTAAAAGAGAAAAACAAAAAATTGCTTTAATTCTTGTATGTGTCAGATGATATATAGATTATTCAATTTTAAACAGAGCATGTCCCCTTCATGACGCAGAATATCATGGTTTTCGACAACTTCTTGTTCTTTGTATATCTTTTCTTTCTTTTATTAAATCAGTTCACAACAGTCAAAATTATAACCCCGCTAAGACACAAGGGGTCTATTGGAATTGAAAGAGAAGAAAAAAAAATTAGAAGGAATCAGAAACCCAATAATACTATAAATTTCAGAGGTTAAACAGAGACGTTAGGAGAATAGATTTAGAGTAGAATTTAGAAGAAAACAGGTATTTATTCTTAAAAAAGAAACAAGGAATAAACATCCCCCTTTTGAAAAGAAACAGGAAGTAACGTGAAGCAGATGATAGGTGACACTATTTTTATTGTCTTTTTGCTATGTCACGTTAATTCCTGTTGTTCTAACCATTTATACAATATGGTTAGTTCAGTTATGTGCTCTTTTCCGCTGTTCCATCTGACTTCAATATATTCAGTGATTATCAATTTCTGCAAAGCATCACTACGCCCAGACGGAAAGAGCCAATGGGTTTGCCTGGCTCTTTAGGTTTACTTAGTTTGCTCTACTTAGCGTATTGCACTTTGCTTAGTTTATTTTTACTTTATTCGTGCCGGAGGTTTTTTTTTCTTTGGATTCTGAACTTTGATTCTAGACGATTATTTTCGCCGAAAGTACATGTTCTTAGTTCTTTCGTTTTTTGACACTTTTTTTCCCTTGAGTATTGGCTTGTTCATTTACAAGCTAAAACACCTAAAGTTTTGCCGGACGAGTATAGCTGCTTATATTTATAAGATTATTAGTATTATATATATATATATATATATATATATATATATATATATATATATATATATTATATATTATTCTACATGGCATTCTGTTAGTGTGTCTGTGTGTTTGTCACCGTGTTACCTCATCCTGGACAAACCGTTCGTCCGTTTGGCATAAAAATTCACACACGGATTGGAAATTTACGCCATTGATACTTGACGTCTTCGGATTTTTCGATTGTTCCTCCGATTTTGGAAAAAATGGAAAAACCGATAGGGGGTCGAATATTGATTCGACAAATATTCATCAGTTTTTCCCAAATTACAAGTGATATCCACCAAACTCACGTTCAGCAATGTTCTTACTTATAGTTTTGAAGTGTTGTTCTTCGTTTTTAAAAATTGGTATCAGTTATCGGAAAAATCGATAAAATCGATCACTTTGGGACATCCGATTTAAATCCAATGTAGCTGATTTTTGTCTGTTTTTCGCAAACTGCAAAGAATTTTCATGGAAATCATGTTGAGCATTAGTTGTATCAACAGTTATTAGTTGCTGACCTTTTTCTTCAATATCGTTATCAATTATTGGGAAAAATCATGCTAATTTTGACTTCCAATTCAAATCCAGTCAAGCTGATTTTTGGCTATATTTTTCGCATATGGCAAAGTAATTCCACCAAAATTACGTTGAGCATTGTTTTTATCAATAGTTATGAGGTGCTGACATTCATTTTCAATATCGATATCAATTACTGGAAAAATCGATACAGTTTAGTTGATCTTTTGGCTATATTTTTTGCAAATGGCGAAGAATTTACAGCTAAATTCCCGTTTAGCATGGTATTTACCGACAGTATTGAGGTGCTGACTTTCATTTGAAATATCGGTTTCAATTATCGGATAAAAATCGATGAAATCATACCACTTTTGACTTCCTATTCAAATCGAGTTTACCTGGATTTGTCGATGTTTTTCGCAACTTTCTTGGGATTTTGATTAACTTCATCGGCTTTTGTCGTGACAATTAAAAACTTTTCCCCTCTGAGCTCCTTTGTGACCCAGTAATACCTGAGGGAAGTTGATACAATCATGTCTTCACCGGAATTTGCGAATACATCAATCAAACGTATGTTCAACTGAGACGTCTACACGGCAGACTCTACAGCTGATTGTTATTCACACACGTGTGATTATGCTTCACATAGCGGTATCTCATTGCCTGGTTGCAGTACGCGGTCGCTGATTAGTGTTTGAGACCCTAGGCTTCTGTTACGCCGCCATCCGGTTGATACGATAGACTCCTTCCACTGATCATTTCTTCTCCCGCATGTTGTTTCATACATTTTTGTTTTCCGTTTGTTTGTTTAAATACATTTTTCCAACTACTATAAACAATTTATTCAGCTGTTTTACTGTCACAGGTCGCTCAACGTAGCGCCATCTCGCAGGCCTCACAGTCATAAGAGGAGCGTGCCACCTGCTTGGCTGAGAAAGCTGCCTACAGTGCTTCATTGCGATCAAGGCTCAAGAACGCACAAAGGTCGAGAAAAGAACGCACAGGCTGTAGCAACCGCCTCCGTATCTCGGGGTTACGAGACTCATCATGAAAGGCTTCTTCGTAACGTAAGAAACTCTGCTGCCATTGCGAAATCGAGGGCAATAGAGTCACTTGACCGCAGGCGCAATCGTCAATCCAGGGATGCTGATGCAACAGCGACCGCTAAGGCTGCTGAGACATCGCTCCGTAGGTCTGTTCGAAATGCTACCACCACTGCCAGGTCGGGGGCAGCTGAAACATTTGACCGCACGCGTGTCCATCAGTTCCGGGACGCTGCTGCAACAGCAACTGCTATGGCTGCTGAGACACAGCTACGTAATTCTGTTCGAAATGCTAGGAATGCTGCTACCACTGCCAGGTCGAAGGCAGCTGAAACATTTGACCGCAGGCGCGCCCGTCAATCCAGGGACGCTGCTGCAACAGCTAGGTCGAGACAGAGATGCAGCGGGCACCCCGCAATGCCCGCAACGCTGCAGCGACTTCTGCTGCTAGAAACTCCTGGACCCACAGACAAGGGCAGACAGACTTTCAAGGGCTGCTACAAACATGGCCGGTGTGCGCTTATCTCAAACCCTCCAAGCTCGCCGCATACGCCTCGACGGCGACATTAGGAGCCTTGCGGCCGCCCGTAATATTACCTGTCCCAGTAGCTCTTTTTGGTATTTCTTGGCTTTTAGTTACAACCCCGGCATTAACTTAACTACGCGTGACGACCTCAATGTAGGGTACATGCCCTGCGTTTGACAATTCTGCAATGCCCGCAAATGGGCCGAGGATCCTGCCGGTCTGTGCTGCTCCTCCGGCAAAGTTTGACTGCACCTCTGCATGAACCACCTAACCCGCTGATAGCCGGCTCCCATCCCGACTCCAACCATTTCCTTAAAACAATTAGGCAATAAAACAACTTTCAAATGACATCATTTGTGGCGCAGGTGGTTCGAGAAGAGGATTGGATGCCCACTTTCAAAGTACAGGGGCAAGTAAATTGTGTCTCTGCTGCCTGTACTTTATTGCAGACTACAACCTACAGGCCGAAACCCGGATTGGCATTTTGCCTACGTCAGGAAGAGTTCCTCGCAGGGACGTCATACTACTACTTCAGGCCATGCTTCACGAGGTTAACAGCTACAGTCGCAGTTTCAAATTTGCTTTGGAAAATGCTCCCTTTCCTTCCATCAGCCTGGTAATTGACGCCGAGAAACGGCCTCACGATGAACACGAACGCCGCTACACTGCTCTTGCGTGCAACGAAATAGCCGCTATTATACATGAGGAGTAAGACCGCACTCGCAATATTGTCTTGAAATCAAGAGACGGCGCTCTTCGCAAGATTTCAGAGACCCATCTATCATATGACGCATTGCAGTACCCTTTACTTTTCCCTTATGGTGACGATGGCTACCACTTCGACATTCCCCTTTCATACTCCGGGTGGCCAACCTACATCTTCTTTCAAAGCCTTATCGTGCAAGGCCTTCTACTCATACCGGTTCATGTTTAGGGATGGATAATTCAACCTGCTTCATAGATGCAGGGAGCTTTTTCACCAGTTTGCGGTTGACATGGCGTCTAAGATGAAATCGGAGAGGCTTTGTTTTATACGAAATCATCAGAAACAGCTGCGCTCAGACTCCTACGTAACACTTACGCGACAGCCTTCGAAATGAAGTCAGTCCCCTCGACCTAGGGAAGCTGTTCATTCTGCCCTCTACCTACACTGGGGGGGACGTTACATGCATGAACGCACGCAGGACACTCTGACATAAGTAAGGCCATATGGGCGGCCAGTTTACCTGGAACGCCAAATGGGTTGAGATAACGCGTGAACTCCTACTCGGACAGGATTACACTCACACACATGACGCTTAAAACTGGGGAAACTTATGGACTTAATAGTAAAGAGGCGAGTCCTACAGTGAAAACGCAACCGCTATTTTACATTGCCAGAATTAAAAATCTTGACCGATTATGAACGGGTGAGAGTCTTCGGGTAAACACGGAGCAGCAACACAGCAGCCATCTATTGCAACCAGTTGCCCTTGATCTCATTGATTTTGCTACCAGCGAGATTCCCGGCCTATCAGTGACCTCAACAACTGCGGATACGTGCGTAAGTTCAATAATTCAAACCCCAAAGCAATTTAACTACATAAAACCACGAACAACTCCAGGCTTTACTGCTAGCATATATATTTAACAATCCAATAAAACCAAGAGGGGTGGAAGTAAAATATTTTATTCATAGTAACTGAAACCTTAAAACATGCCATTTAAGAAACAATGATGGAATTTTCATTTTTTAAAAATTACGTCCTGTAGATGGCGTCCGCCTTTACGAATGCATTCTTGAAATCTGCTGTTGAGATTTCTCATTGACTGCTGCAACATCTCAGTTGGGATACTGTGAATTTCATCTTGAATTCTAAATGGCGAAATGTTTACTTGCTTAAGGTCACTGTCTCGCAGTGTTGCCACTTGCTCATGTCTGGCAATACGCACTTCAAATATTCCTGTTTTTTTTGGTCACCCTATAGATATATATATATAATTATTTATTTAAAAATTATAACATAAATATGTTATAAAATCACTACAAAAATAGCCATTTTGTTTTAACAACTCCGGTGTCTTATCAAGTGATGATGTTGAATGTAGAATAAATGGTTTTAAAAGTTTCAAATTAATTAACGATCCTTCTCAAGGGGAAAACGCTGTTACATAAGCTAGAATGACCAATTAAAACACAAGTATAAGAGAATTCAAAAAACTTGACAACGAAGTAAGGTTATAATAGCTATTAATAGCATTAAAGTTGGGGTTATACTAAAATAGAATTTATTCTAACCAATAAGTATTAAATTATATGATAAAATAAAATTTTAAAATCTAAATTTAATCTCTATTAAATTTCAAATTATAAAATTACTGAGGAGAAAAGAAAAAATACATGTGATATTCAATTTATTTTTTTCATTGAAATTACGTTAAAATAGACGCTAATATCAGCTGGTCTTCCTAACAAAATGTATACATTTTAATTCCAAGTGTGTGAGTGGACTGCTAACCTCCCGCGTAAAACAATACAAACACACTCAGATTATATTACATAAGCACCCAGACATATTTATATATACATACACAAAAAAGTGAAGAGACAGGAAACATCTCCACAGCCCTTTATAAAAAAAAAACGAACACATACATATATACACAATTAAATGTGTATGCATTTTCTATACACATATACACCGATAAATACATGTATACACATCCACATACATTGACGTAGACAATCTGACAACCAAGAAATATTCAAGACTGAAAGTGTTATTAAACGAATGCTAACCACTTATTAAAATATAACTTATACGGGCAAATATGCATTGATAAAAATGGTCAAATAGAAAAGAGAAACAAAGAATAGGGAATGAAAGGACATTACAACACACACACATATATATATATATATATGTTTAAAAATAACATTATCTAATATATAAAAACGAAAATTCCAAACACACAAACATCTATAAAAATATATATTTTTATCATATAAGTCGATATATGCCTTATTATATATTAGGTAAAAGAAAATAAGATAATAAGAACTACAAACAGATATAAATGTAGAGTCACACACATACACATACATATACATACATACATACATACATACATACATACATACATACATAAAGACATACATACATAAAGACATGCATGGAAACATATGCGTATATAAACTAAACACAGAAACATACATATATACCAACACATATACAAACACACGCATATAGATAAAAAAGAAAACCATACAATCGTAAATTCACCTATATAAACATATATACGCACATACACATCCATACATATATATGAATATATATATATATATATATATATATACATATATCATATACATACACACACACACACATATATATATATATATATACTAACACACATAAAATAGGAATATATATATATATATATATATATATATATATATATATATATATATAAAACCTATATATATTCTAACAACATTATCTTATTGACGATAAAATGTAGTAAAAGTTCATGATAATTTTTTAAAAAAGTAACCACATACAGTTGTTGATTAAGTTTATAAGCAATTAAAAAATCCCTATCAAACAAAAGTAGATTTTAGTTAATATCGATGATACATTCCAAGACACTAATATATACATACATATATTTATATACTAGGACATGCAAACATACATCCACATATACAAATAAATAACCATGTATAAATACCAGTATCGACACATCCACATATACACATATATAAGTACAATCCCCATCCACGCATATATATATATAAATACACACACACACACACACACACATATATATATATATATATATATATATATATATATATATATATATATATATATATATATACACACATATAAATACAAATACATATACACATATATATATCTATACACACACTCACATATACATATATATATATATATATATATATATATATATATATACACAAACACAGATACACATACATATAGATATATATACACATAGACTTACACACGCAGCAGTAGACACAAACGAAAGTTTACATACCTACACATACACACAAACAAGCTCACATATGATAGGTGTCAACATCCACACATACATCCACACACACACACACACACACATATATATATATATATATATATATATATATATATATATATATATATATATATATATATTACAGGGCAAAGATGCGTAGAAAATGGAAGCCATATATAAATATAAATTTGAATATTGTTATCTCGCAAATCAACGATATTTTGATTCTGAAATGCTGCCATTTGCTTCCCATACTCCATAACCGGAATTTAAATGTCATATATATATATATATATATATATATATATATATATACATATATATATATATATATATATATATATATCAAAAAGCATGTGTAGAAAATGAAAGTTTTTCTCATCACAGAAATATATAAATTTGAATATTCTCATTTCGATCACAAATTTTTTTTTTCTTTTTAACATTCATTTTTTGTCTCGCTTCCTTCACAAACTGAATTCGATTTTCGTGAAATTCTTTCTTTGTTTTTTGTGTTTTTGCTTTTTTTGTAATATGTAAGATATTCTTCAATTTCCAAAATCGATATTCAGAATTTTACTTGAGAAATACATGTGAGTCTCATATCTCTTACTCTTTTCCTTGTTGACTTGGAATGCATGTTCCAAATATCCTCGCAATTAACTCGCTACATCATTAAAGGATATTTATTAATATAATTAAATAATCAATTAATATGTGAGAGAGAAAATTGTCTACGTTTTTACTTTCTGTATTGGCCCAATTTATTTCTCCCTCGTGGAGGCGAGATCCGAAATGAAGTTAGTTTTACAGCGCATCAAGCGTCGCGCGTAAAAGAATTGAAGAAACTATTCTATTTACCTCAGCTAACTGACTTGCACATTGGAGATACCACTGCTTTCCGTTGCATTCCGAATGTTATCTGCTCGTGAAAAAGAATTGTTATTATCTATAGATTTTCTTTATTTGTGTGTTGATGTTATGGGTATGTGAAATTCTATCCAGCATACAAAATGCCAAACATCTGGGATAAATACTCAGGAACACAGCGCTAAGCAGATGAATATAAGACATCCAGGAATTGATTCATTTATATACATATCTCTTTATTCACTTCTACCGTTATCATAGGAAAATAAATAAAAATCTCTTATTGTTTAATTAAATACCTCCTAATTAAATGTAGTGACTAGCTACATTCTTTGGTTTCCGAAGTACCGTGCTGTTGCAGGAATGATGAAGAAAATAATTTACTCGTTCTGGTTCTTGAACGTATATCCACCATTGATCCTTGCATTGAATATTGCTGCTATATATAGACTGCTGCTCCTGCTATTCATCTCAAGGTTCTTGACAAAATCCAAAGAAGGATCTGCAATGTAATCGATCCTGACTTGATATCTCAACTTCAGTTAATTGTTCACCGACGTGATGTGGCTTCCCTCTGTCTTTTCAACAAATATTTTCATGACAACTGCTCTGACGAGCTTTTTTTTTCTCGTGTCCGGACTACGCAAATTTAAGCGTGCTACTAGATTGGCATCTACATCCCGCCCTTTTCTTGTCGAAAGAGTTAAATATAATCGTTACTTCTACTTTAACAGTTTCTCGCACTTCTCGCCTTTGGAACTCCTTTCCTTTTATATGCTTCTAAAATTTAAATGCAACATGAATCGCCATCTTCTATCTTCATGTATCCCGTTCATCTTTTGTCCTTTCATTAATCCTCCATATACTCGATGTTTCAAATTTACTCCTTGTAACCCCATGAGTACTAGTGGCATTTTCCCCTTCCCTGGAGTAAAATGATTAAAAAAAAAGAAGACGTGGAAAAGCCAGTCAGTCAGTACAATGATGAAAATATGTGCAATTATTTTATTTTGCCGAAAAAAC